ATTAACTTGATACAGTATCTTAAAATAAATACCATTTAAAATGGAGGAATGTGGAAGGAAAATATATAGAAAACTGAGAATGATTGGGGCAGGAGGTAGGGACAAAGGTTTTCAAAGTGGGGTTCCCTGGAGCACCTAGGTTCTTAAACTTTAGCAGGTTTCAGGATCACCCGGAGGGCTTGTTGAAACATGGATTCCTGGGCCCCATTGCAAGAGTTTCTAAATGAGTAGGTCTGGGGTAGAGCCTGAGGATTTGCATTTCTAATAAGTTCCAAGGTGATGGTTTTTGTTTGTGTTTTGGTGGCTGGCCAGTTCACTAGATGATGTTGATGTCATCAGTTCAGGGACCACACTTTGCGATCCACTGATCTGATGTACGAGTTGCATTAGTTAAATGGAACATATAAAAATGACTTTGCACAAAGAGGCTTTAGGGATCAGGATTTTAAGTGTGCTGGAAACATGAATAAATAAACACATCTATTTCACTTCCTGGTTCTTCATTCCAGTATGACCACAGCCAATCCAGCCAAGCTCCCGGCTACTGGGAAGGTGAGTGCCAATGAGGAGCTGTGTGGACCACGTGGGCACATGCAAACCCTCTGCAGCGAACCTCCTAGAACCCATGATGGTGTTCTTATGCTTTTAAGGTAAGCCCATTGGACATCTGCGGTCTTTGGGTCTCATGCAGTCTGTCTCTCCTTGCTAGAGTATGCTTATATTGCAAACAGAAGGCACCGGAAATAACTGTCATTGATCCAAGAAGCAGCATCTTTTTCTCCTTATGTGCAGAGGTTCTCCTGACTAGGGGCTCTGCTTATAAGCTGTGTTGACCTCAATGGGCCCCAAGCACTAGCCTCCTTTCTCTTCCCTCCACTTCCCTTCAGTGATGTCTGTGGGGCTGATGCTGCAGATACCTTGCCCATATCCCCTTGGCCCATCAGAGGTGACCTGCAGACAGTCCCCCACATGTGGAATGGTTCCTCCTCCAGAGGGTGTTCTCTGAACGGAGGAGTGCATTCCCCAGTGGGTGGGGAGGTCCAAGTACTGGAAGCTTGACACACCCACGAGGGCCCCTCAATCCACGAAGGACAGAAATTGGTGGGCAAATAACCCAGTTTCTACCCCTTCGTGGGATAGTCTTAGGTTGGGTTCCCGCAGGGCTAAGCTGCAGTCCTCTGCGGCGGCTACCCAGTCACTAATGCATCTTTTGGGTTTTGCTCTCTTCCCCCTCTCTTCTCTCCCTCACCATGTTTCCTTGGATCACCTTCCATATAAAAAATTTGTACTCAAATTCTTGACTTAAGGGCTGTATTTAGGATATCCTAAACTAAGACACCTGTCTTCCTCCCAGGAAATGAGACTAAGCACAATACACCCCCGTCCCTCTCTTGATTCAACCCACTTTAACAATTACAGGAGAATGCCAGTATAAATTAACACCAGTACATCACTATCAATACATCAGTTTGGCTTGCATTATCTGCCCCAAATAGACATTTAATTGCTGGGTATCCTGATGAATGATTCAGATAATTTTTCCCCCAAAATAACAAAATAATTTTCTCTTATCTCCTTTGGGTCCATTGAAATATATTTAATTGAATGAATGCTTAGCTAACAGCTTTGCTCCTTTCAAAACCATAGGTCATATTCTATGCCAGCTGCATGTGGTAGAGGAACAAAGATGGATTTTTTATTAGTAGACTCAACTCTAACCTTCCATATCACTCTGTGGTTGATGACCATTTGATCCAACAGAATATATAGGTTATAAATTTGTTCATGCTGCCTGTATGAAGAGCATTTTCAAAAGTAAAAGCTGATGAACCACAGAGCTGCTCATTATGTTAAAACTGATATCATTGTTTGAATTGGATGCTTTCCACATTATAACATCCAGGCCATCTGAAATTATCAGCTTTTCCTTCTTCCAGAGAGTTTTCAGATCTGGGGCAAAGCTCTGCCAGGACGTAAGAACTTAGGGCATTTCTTCATGCAACAGTTAAGTGTGTACACATTTTCTTCTTGTGCTATAATTTTTTGTGGTACATGTTTTATCTTTTGAAGTCCTTCTCGATGGCAGGAACCATACTGTCTCTATCTTTATTCCCTCTAGAGGCAAGTGCTCTGTAGTACCTAGTAGGTGCCCAATAAACTTGAGAGAGGATGCACAATTTCTTTAGGAATGAAACCAGGATGCCAGGTGCAAGAAGCCTCATGCAATGGCAAGCAGTGATTCTCTCCTACAATGTTGGTCTAACCTAATGCTTCTGGGATTCTAATCATCTGTCTGTTGTTTTAAGTTCCAAGATGACAAAGCAAGCCAATCAACTTTCACTTCCTCATGTGTTAAAAAAAAGAAAAAGGTGGCAATAAAATTTGTCATCATCTAGTATGCCCTACATGCTGTAAAGATCAATTAGATAAAATCATTAGCAGTATCTTGGCTGTGGCAAAGGGAGAAATAGGAACACAAGATAGTATGATGCTGGGTGTAATATCTTTACTGACAGTTCCTTCTGACGTGATCAGTAGTCATCAGTGATATTTTCCTGTGCCCAGTTCCTAGAAAAAAAGCTCTGCTCCTTAGTAGTCCCAAACTTTAGAGTCTCTGTCCCTTTATAAGCTGGGTTTCAGAGATGTACTCTATTCACTTGTTTTCAACTACTCTTAAAGGACAGTGAGACGTTTGTGGTTTATATCTTGACAGCCAGTTATGTTTTTGAGGAGGTTGGTAGTAAGATGGTAGCCCAAATCCAAAGAACAATTTCAAAAGCATAAAGCCAGAGGGTTTAGTATCTTGTTCTTGGGAGGGTGGCAATTTCCCAGAGTCAAGTAATAGAACTGGTAGCAGGAGGGTTTTCATGTGGTTCCCAATTACCCACACCCCAGTCATGCTGACACATGAGCCTGTTAAGGCTGTGAAGGTGGAGTTTTCCATTAAGAAAAAAGAAAAAAGCTATCCGGGATACCTGCATTTTAGTTGCTGAGATGAAAATATCAGAATATATCTGTGAGTGAATCTCTGAGCTAAGTTTTGGGAAGAAAACACCCCATTGCTGTGATCCATCTTTGGTACACATAAAAACAACAAAAAAAAATAATACTCAGTTTAGTTTTTGTTTTTGGTTTTTTGGGTTTTTTTCCCCCTGGTTGGGGGAAAGATAACATAGGGGAAGAGGGGATTATGGGTTTTCATAATGATGCATTTTCTAGCCTTGCTTTGCTGGACTCAGGCAGATGACACACAGAAACATGCAGGATTCCAGGCGGGTGGGAGTTCAATCAGAAGAAGTCCCAAAGGGGAGGGGGCGCTCTCTGGGCGGGGCGGGTGCAGGGGTAGGCAGGACTCAGGTGAAAGGGCAGTGTATGGGGCCAGGTGGGTGCTGTGGGCGCTGCGGGGAAGCTGGAGCCAATGGGCTTATTAGTACCTGGCTGAGACTGCAGCCGGCCCATGGCAAATACAGGCTATCAAAGCTCTGTCAGCACTCCTGAATGGGACAAAGAAAAGGCGCATTAATGATTAACTCTGCTAAAAGCTCTGGCTTTTGTATTCCCATGGTGCCTGGCCTATCTGGCTGCCATGTGACCGGCCTGGGCCATTTTCTCGCAGATTGGGGAAAGCTAGTGAGCAAACACAGGTGGTTCCGAGTCTGCCGTGCTGTCAGGGACAACCGTGGACAGCAGCAGCTATGCCTGCTGAAATTAGTCGCTCTGTTTGCCTCCAGTTTTGCTTCCTGGTGCTCTTACTTTCTAAGTCGAATGTCATTTTGCACTCGTTTTCTACTATTCACAGGAGGTGCTAAAAAGGGCGGAAAAGCCCCCATGCAAAAATGGGAAAGTGAGACACCCAACATCATGTTCTTTGAACTCTGCAATAACATTTGGTGACCAAACGCAAAGGCTGGGTAAACTAATTAAAACTGCTCAGGTCTTTAACTCCCCGCAAGAGCAAATTTATTCTTAAAGGGAGTTATTTTAGTGATCCCCACCAAATCTGCAAGCCACAGCAGTGATGTCATAAGCCTGCCAGAGTGGACGCCAGCTCAGCACCCTGGGTCCTGGCATGACCCGCTCTGTAAAACTGGCCATGGCACTTGCACCCACCCATACAAGGGATGCCAGGATAGGGTGCCCTTCTGAGCCTGACCTTGCCTATCCATGGTTCAGAGTCAAGGTCCCTCTAGTGGCATTATTTGTTTAAATGCATTTCTTCCTTGGCCTACATCAGACTTTCTTTTTCCTGTTCAAATATTTATATGTGTGTATTATTGCATGCAGCTTCAACTGCTCACAATCACTCCAGCAGCCATAAAGTGTAGATTATCAACATAAGGTGATAAAGGCCCTTTGAGTCAACACCAGAAATGAACAGAAAATGAAATAAAGTTATAAAGAGGACAGCATTAATGTCTACAAAGAGTATATCAGTCTGCAGATATTCAAGCAATTAGCTACAATAGGAGAGACATTTTATCCAAACTAACAGTGCGGCTAAAATGATTACCAATGTTTGACATTTAAATATAGCATTCTGCTGGATTCCTAGTTTCAGAAAAAAAAAAAAAATCAAAGCCCTGCAAGGTCTCTCTACTCGAATGCAGTTCAGTTAGTGAATAGCATCAGTTCAAACACAGTTGTGGTGAGTGAGGTGTTGCTCATCTCCTCCAATTGATGCTGACCACAGAATAAGCTTGAGCAGCCTCAGCCCCTGAGTGACCTGACAAGTCTACTGTAATCTGTTGGTGCTGTTTGTTTGGGGATTTTGGTAGTGTTTCTTCTACATGCTACCCCATAGTTGCTAAACTTTTGATTTTTGTGAGATGAAGATAGTATGGTTACAGGTCCCAGCTGCTGGAGAGACTTGATTACCTCTGGGTACAAGCACCCACTGTGGATTTCCATGTCATTAAGCAATTTAGTGGATACTTGGTATGCATTTGTTTTGGGTTTTTTTTGACTGACAAATAATTGTTGTGTTTTTCTTTTTTGGTAGGTGGCCAGTACAGGGATTGAACCTGGGACCTTGGTGTTACCAGCAACCATGCTCTAACCAACTGAGTTAACCGGCCAGACCTTAATAATTAGTTTTTCCTTGCAAATGATTATAGACAGATGGTGTCACTAGTGCTTGAATTACTTTGAACACAACAATCATAGTTTCATGAAAACCCCATATTTATTTACCCATTTATTTCAAAACAAAAATGAAAAAAAAAAAAGAGGAGCATGCTTGTGAAACTAGCATATAGGAACATTCTTATGTGGCTGAATGGAAAACTCAGCTTCTGGTTTATTCCAGTGGCTCCCCCACCCCATCTTTATGTTGTGTAACAAAACCAAAAGTTAATTCAGGCTGACCCCGTGGCGTACTCGGGAGAGTGCAGAGCTGGCAGCGCAGCGATGCTTCCGCTGCGGGTTCTGATCCCATATAGGAATGGCCAGTGCACTCACTGGCTGAGCGTGGTGCAGGCAACACCAAGCCAAGGGTTGCGATCCCCTTACCAGTCACGAAAAAGACAAAAAAAAATAAAGTTAATTCTAAGAAAAGGTCAACACATCGAGAAACCTTTAGCCAGACTGACCAAGAAAAAAAGAGGAGGAGAGAACTGAACAGCATCATCAACCAACAGGATCTCATCGACATTTATAGATTACTCTACCCAACAATAGCAGAATACTTGTTCTTTTCAAGTGTACATGGAACATAGGAAAATTATGACCATATCCTGGGCCATAAAACAAATCTCAAAAAATTCATAAGAATTGAAATCATACACAGTGTGTTCTCTGACCACAATAGAATAAAATTAGAAATCAATAACACAAAGATAACAGAAATGCCTCCAAATACTTGGAAACTAACCAACACACTCCCAAATAATATATAGGTCAAGGAGGAAATCCCAACTTAAAAAAAAAAAATTAAACTGAGTAAAAATGAAAATACAACATGTCAGCATTGGTGGTACATAGCCAAAGCAGTGCTGAGAGGGACATTTATAGCACTAAATGCTTACATCAGAAAATAATTAAAGTCTCAAATCAATAATATAATCAATAACATAAGCTCCTACTGCATGAACCTAGAAAAAGAAGAGTGGATAAGTTCAAAGCAAGCAGAAGGAAGAAACTAATAAAGACAGGATCAGAAATCAGGGAAAGTAAAAGCAGGGAGCAATAGAAAGAGTCAGTGAAACAAAGTTGGTTTTTTGAAAAAAGTCAACAAAACTGACAAACATCTATCAAGACTGACAGAGAAAAAAAAGACACAAATTACCAATATCAGAAAAGAAACAGATATCACTACAGATCATGCAGACAACAAAGGCTAAAAAGGAATATTACATATAACTCTACACATATAGTTTGACAACTTAAATGGACAGATTTCTTAAAAAACATGAACTACCACAATTTACCCAATATGAAACAGATAATTTTATACCTAAAAAGAAAATTGAATTTTTAATTTAATAATGTCCCAAAAGAGAAATCTCATGTCCCAGAGGATTTTGCTAGAGAATGCTACCAAATGTATAAAGTAGAATTAACATTTCTTCACACTTTGTTCCAGAAGACACTTCCCGATTCATTTTATACAAATAGTATTACCCTGATACTGAAACCAGACAAAGTTTAACAAGAAAATTACAGGCTAATATCCCTCATGAATACAGACAAAAAAACTTAATAAAATATTAGCATATAGAATGCAGTAATATATAAAAAGAATCATACACCATTACCAAATGAGATTTATTCCTGAAATGCAAGGTTGGAACAATATTGAAAACCAATCAATGTAAGTTACCATATTAACAGGCCAAAACACAAGATCGTATGAATCTACACAGAAAAAACACTTAAAATTCAACACCCATTCATGATAAAACATCTCAGAAAAACAGGAATAAAAGAGAACATCCTCAAGTTGATAAAGACCATTCACAAAAATCTATACTTAACATTGCACTTAATGGTGAAAGACTGAATACTTTTTCCTAAGATTAGGAATAAGATAAGGGTGTCCACTTTTACCACTCATTCAACATAGTGCTGGAACTTCTAGCCATTGGAATAAGCCAAGAAAAGTAAATAAAAGGCATTCAGATCAGAAAAGAAGAAATAAAACTGTCCATATCTGCAGGTGACATGATTATATAGAAAATCCCAGGAAATCTACACAAAATCTTTTAGAATTAATAAGTGTGTTCAGCAATGTAAGATACAAGATAAACACAAAAATTAATTGTATTTGGGCCAGCCCGGTGGCGCACTGCTACTGTGCGCCGCTTGGGAGCGCGGTGGCGCTCCCGCCGAGGGTTCGGATCCCACATACAGACCAGTTCCCACTCACTGGCTGAGCGAGGTGTGGGTGCAATACTGAGGGTTGCGATCCCGTTGCCAGTCCCGGTCTGGTACGGGCGCGACACTGAGGGTTGCGATCTGTTGCCGGACACGAAAAAAGACAAAAAGGAAAAAAAAAAAATTAATTGTATTTGTCTATACTAGCAATAAACATGTGGCCAACAAAATTAAAATATGATATCATTTACAAATGGTCAAAAAAAGAGAAGTGCTTAGGTATAAATCTAACAGAACATGTGTAGGACCTTATGCTGCCAACTGCACAATGCTGGTAAAAGAAACCAATGAAGAGTTAAACAGAGAACACATACAGTGTTCACAGATTAGAAAACTGAACAGAGTAAAGACGTCATTTCTCCCCAAATTTACATACAGTTTTAATGAAATTTCTATTGAAATTCCAGCAAGAATTTTTGTAGATATAATCAAGATTATTCTGAAATTTATATGGAAAGGCAAAGGGATTAAAATAGCTCAAACAACTTTGAGAAAGAAAATTAAAGTGAGAGAAGTCAGTTTACTGGAATACAAGACATTAAGTGGCTCCAGTAATCAAGACTGTGGAACTGGCAAAACAATAGACACATAGATCAATGGAACAGAATAGAGAACCTGGAAATAAACTCACACAAATATACCCCCAAAATCTTTGACACCATTGCATAGGTCACTCAATGGAAGACAATAGGACATTTTCAATAAATGGTGCTGAAGTAACTGGACATTCATAAGCAAAAAATGAACCTTGTCCTATATCTCAAACCGTAGACAAAATTAAGTCAAAATAGATTATGGGTTTAATACAAAATGTAAACTATAAAACTTTTAGAAGAAAATATGAGACAAAATTCTAGGCATTTGGAACTAGGCAAAGACTTCTTAGACTTGACACCAAAAGCATGATTATAAAAGAAAAAAGTTATAAATTGGACTTTATCAAAATTAAAAACTTTCAATTTGTGAAAGACCCTGTTAAGAGGATAAAAAGACAAGCTACAGACCAGTAGAAAATAATTGCAAACCACTTCTCTAAAGAGGAGTAGTATCCAAAATATATAAAGAACTGTCAAAACTTCACAATAAAAAAACAAACCAACAAAAACAAACAAAAAACCTCATTAGAAAATGTTCATGAAGAGACATTTCATGAAAGAGGATATACAGATTGCAAATAAACCAACGAAAAGATCACTAGAAATTAGGAAAATCATCAACCATTAGAGGAATGCAAATTAAAACCTCAGTGAATAATAACAATAACAAATGCTGGTGAGGACACAGAGAAATTAAATCACCATTAGATTTCTGGTGGGAAGGAAAAATGCTATAGCACTTTGGAAAACAATTCAGCAATTTCTTTAAAAGTAAGCATGTTACTACTATACAGCCCAATAATTGCATTCCTGGCCATTTATTCCAAAGAAACGAAGACTTATGTTCATATAAAAATCTGTGCATATATGTTTATGGCAGTTTTATTCATAACAGCCCAAAACGGAAACAACACAGATGTCCTTCAAAGAGCAAACTGTAATACAGAATGTGGTACATCTATACCATGGAATACTACTCAGAAATAAAAAGAAACAATATTGATACGTGCAATAATCTGGGTGAATTCTGGAGAATTATGCTGAAGGGAAAAATTTGATTTCCAAAGATTGCATACTGTGAGGTTTCATTTATGTAACATTCTTGAAATAAGAAAATTATAAAAATGGAGAACGGATTAGTGGTTGCCAGGGGTTAAGGAAAGGGTAGGGTGGGAAAGAAATGGGTTTGCTATAAAAGAACAGCATGACAGATGCTTGTTTTGATGGAAACATTTGATGTCTTGACTCTGTCAATGTCAATATTCTCATCGTGATATTGTACAATAATTTTATAAGATGCTACCGTTGGGGGAAATTGGTAAAAGTGTACATGGAATCTCTTGTTTATGTCTTACCACTGCATACGAATCTACAGCTATCTCTAAATAAAAGGTTTAAAAAAGCTTTGCTAAGTTTTATAAAAGGGTGACTTTTAAGTTTTTAAGTCAGAAAATATTTGCAATAAAATGTTAAGAAACAACTGCAGCCAGTGTCCCTAATGTCACCTACTCATTCTCTGGGGACTCAAGGTGCAACCTCAATGTCTTTCTTCCACATTAGTTCCTGTAAAGGGCAAACAGATAACCAAGGCTCTCTCCAGAACCAAAACAGATTGCAAAAGTACGAGACTTCAATTTTATGTCACAATAATTAGTTTTGAAAACAATACTTAACGGTATGTAATTAACCGTGAACTAACCACTTTAAACTATGTTTTCAACTAATACAAATATATTTCTTAGGATGCATAATCATAATTTTAAAATAGAGATAATTTACATCACCAGTTGTACAGACTCAGAAGCAAGATTATTAACTACACGAATGATTATCAACAAAAACAAAAGATCAGAAAAATAATTGGAGGGGAATCAATACATATTTTCTCATTTCTTTCTAATTTAAACCCAACACACTTCTGGATAAGAACGGAGGCAACTTCTCATAGTCACTCTTTAACATGTCTTTTGTGTATTGCAAACCAAGACAATATTGTCGGTTTCATTCTATCTCTGCCATCCTATCACTGGTTAAAAACAGAAACAAAGAAATTTTAAAAACTTCAAGAAATGGAAGGTTTATTTGCAGCCCATTATCCAGGCTGTTAA